TCGGCTGAGCGAAGAGACTGAGATGGAACATACTTGTGCAAAAGTGCAGTGATCTAAGAGGGGGCACTGCCCTGGAGGGCCTTATAAACAAGAGTTAAGATCTTAAATTTAGCTTGATATTGCACCGGGAGCCAGTGCAGAGTAGCAGCACTGGAGTAATGTGATCTCGGCATCTAGTACCTGTCAGGAACCTAGCCACTGAGTTCTGTACAAATTGGAGCCGTGCAACCGTGCACTGGCCCAGACCGGCATACAGAGCATTACAGTAGTCCAGACAGGACAGGACGAAAGCATGCAACACAGACACCAGATGAGCTCTGGACAGCAGAGGCCTGATCCTGGTTAGTCGTTTCAGGTAAAAAAAAAAAACAGGACCTCACCACCGTATTTATGTGGGTGTCAAGATTAAGTGAGGAGTCAATGTTTATCCCCAAATTACTGACTATTTTCTTTTCATAGGGGGTCAATGGGCCAAGGTCAATATCAGCACCTGAGCCATTTCTTCTGCCAGGACTAAGTATTATGACTTCCGTTTTGCTCTCATTTAGGTGCAAAAAATTAGAAGCCATCCAACATTTTATGTCCTTCAAACAGTCCAGTAAAGGAGAAACAGATCTATCCTCCCCACGTCGAAGGGGGAGATAGATCTGCAGTCATCAGCAAAAAAAAATGAAATTTCACATTATGCCAACGAAGGAGGACTCCAAGAGGAAGCAAATACACTGCAAATAGGAAAGGACCAAGGACAGAGCCCTGTCGCACACCCCAACGAAGTCTCATGCAGGGTGACGTCACCTCACCCATCTGAACACTAAATGTCCTGTCATGAACGTAGGACCGAAGCCATTGTAGGGCCTGCCCAGATATCCCCACCCAATGCTGTAGTCGGTCCAGAAGGACTTCGTGGTCGACTGTATCAAAAGTTGCAGATAAGTAGAGCAATAGTAGGACAACATCGCTATCCATGTCACAGGCTAAAAAGGTGTCATTAAAATCTATTAAAAGAGCAGATTCAGTGCTGTGACCTGCCCTGAACCCTGACTGAAAGGTCTCCCATAAATCATTTGTGTTCAGAAAGGCAACCAATTGTGAATACACAACCTTCTCTAGCAGCTTTGAAAGAAAAGGAAGTTTTGAGATGGGCCTGTAATTAGCTAAGGTTGTCACATCCAGCCCCGGCTTTTTTAACATAGGATGAATAAAAGCCTTCTTAAACGAGGACAGAACCATACTAGAAGTAAGACTGCCATTTATGATTGCCAAAAGTCAGGAGCCTATCACTGGAAAGAGTCCTTTATAAATTCTAGGGGACAGCACATCACAAGGAGAGCCAGATGGTTTAAGCTGAGCGACCAGTTTTTCCAAGTCCGATAAGGATACAGGCTCAAATGTTTCCAGTGTAGCCTGAGGCGGCTCTGGGAGTAGAGAGTCAGGTGGTGAGTTTGTAATGGCAGCTCGAATAGCTGTAACCTTATCAACAAAAAGTGAAGAAAATCATTACAATTTTTAACTGTGGGAGGCAAAGAACTAGAATCAAAGAACTCAAGTAGTGAATTACAGAAAAAAAGAGTGCGTGGATCATGAGAATTTTTTTCCACGATATCAGCAAAGAAATTCACCCTCGCTTCCTTAAGTTTGCTGATAGTTAAAGATTCTCTGAATATTTCACGAGAGACTGTCTTTCTTCCATTTCCTTTCTGCCCTCCTGCAGGCTTGCTTGCAGGCCCGAACATAATCAGAGAGCCTTGGCTTTCTAATCCTAAAAGATGCAATTTTATCCTAAATATTTTTACAGAAACTGTCAAATTTGAGTGTAAGCTCCTATGTATTAAGTGACATTGTGTGTAGCTCATTTCCTTCAGCACATAGGAGCTCACCAAGCTCAATAATCTTTGCTGTATTTAAAACACGACGAAATCTCACATGAGAGGGTCACAGCAGGCATGCAGGGCAAGTTAAAATCACACAAAATGGGCGAGTGATCAGAAAAAACCGGGCTCAGAATCTCTACACCAGCAACAGAGAAACCAATAAAGAGCACTAAATCCAAGGTGTGTCTCTGTGCATGAGTAGTACCCAGGACCCACTGTGACAGATTAAGGGAGCCCAACAGATGTAAGAAGTCTTTAGCCAATGGCTTATCAGGACAACACACATAAATATTAAAATCACCAAGAATCAAAACATGATCATACTTTCGCATGTTTACAGACAGGAGGTCAGAAAAGTCCACATCAAATTTAGGACGCCACGAGCAACAGAGGAGGTGGGCCAAGTTCAAACAGGCACATTTCAAAGCTGGAAGGAGGATTCGACGGAGTAAGCTGTTTACAGTTGAAGTGAGATTTATTAATGACAACCAGTCCACCACCTATGCCAGAAGACCTCGGGACATTGAAACAGCTACAACCCACTGGTAGTAGTTCCAGTAAAGCACTCGAATCTCCCATAGGCAGCCAGCTCTCACATATGCACAGGAGTTCCAACCCCTGTGCAACAAAGAAGTCTTTCAAAATTACAGTTTTATTCATTACCGACCTGGCATTGGAACAGACCTAGCCGTGTGAGATGTGGAGTCGTCGGCCCAGCGTTATTTAAGCCCAGGGACGTGGATGCTACCCCCATACAGGTCACCGGGTGGAGATTCGCTGGGTTGACTCCCCTCCATCATTACCGAGACACTGGAAGAAAGCGCTGGTACGCAGTCTCCTCTTCAAATCCCACCAACAGCACGAGGCAGGAAGGGGCCGCCTCCAACAGGCGTGACGGCACCATAAGATGATGGCTGCTAACCATCAGCTCAGCAAGCTCCCTATGGGACCGTGACAGCTTGGCCCGCAATCTCACTCGCCATCCACCATGCCTTCCACGACCCCTACGACGCTTTCTCCAGTTAGCTTGATCAGGAGCCATCAAGGCACAAGCGGTGGTGCCAAACGGCACTGGCATGAGGACGAAAAACCAGAACTTCTCCAGCCCGTCCAAGCACCCAGTTTCACCAGGCCAGCAAGAACATCATATGAATGATCTTTTCTACAAGCGGAGTAAACTTGTGAAATGGGTTAGATGAGACGCTTAAGAATGGTGCAAATATTGTTTTTTGAAATAATATATAACTTTCATGTATCGGAATATGACCTATTGTGTTTATTAGGAGGTACAGCTGTAATGAATCTTTTTGAATACGAGTGTCATTGCCTGTTATCTAAGGCCAGTGATGATGTGTACACACAAGCCCCATCATTCTGCAGCAAATGTGAAGCCAACAATGCAAAAACTGCAGTTCCACCCTCATCCACTAGGGGCGGCAGCAGATGCTCGTTGACTTTCATGTTAAAAAGGCAAACTTCACAGCAGAAATAAACATGTTTACAGCCTGGTTCAGAAACCATTCTAGGTGTAATAGATCTAGTTTACATTCATGACAACTCTGAGGCGCTGAAGGTTTTGTAACTCTTTTGTTTAAGCGGAGTTTAATACTTAAAAATCTGAATAATTAATGAGCATCCACGTGACTTCAGAGCTAGCTCAGAGGAAAGGGTTAGAGTTAATAGATGTTTGGCCATTTTGACTCTCTGAACTTTAGTTGTGTGTGTGTATGTGTGTGTGTGTGTGTGTGTGTGTGTGTGTGTGTGTGTGTGTGTGTGTGTGTGTGTGTGTGTGTGTGTGTGTTGGATGTTAATCATGGGATTAGTTGGGCAAAAGGACAAATTGTGGTTACTAACAGACCATCCAAGCAGATTTTGCTTCTTTTTTTCAGTAAGTAAATTATATTTCTGCACTTTATTTTGAACGCTGAATGGAGGGGAATGCTGTATCGTCCAACTGCTTAGTCAAACATGTTAGTGGGGCTGCATAAGAAACTTGAGCGGGTGCCCAGCTTCTCCTGTCTCCTGTCTGAGAATAGCAGTCGGCTGCCGTTCCCGTCTCCCGGGTTGGCTCCGAAAGCAAGGCTGTAGTCATGCTGGATCTCTGAGGGAGATTACAGAAACACTGCAGCTCTATTTGTTGAGGCTGCTTCATGTTTGAGATGCTTAGCCTCATTTTTCTTACTGAAAACACCCAGAAAACCTCTGTTAGCTTTGGGTTAGGATGTAGCTAGTGTATCTCCGACTGTGATGATGTAAAGACGCCCGGTTACCACCGCACCGACCTGAGGCTCTGCTTGTCATTTAACAGTCCCAGTCCACATTAGATCTCCACAGGCGACCAGCATGACTACAGCCTCACACAGGAGCCAGTCTACCATGTGGGTGTGATACCCCAGTCCAAGGAGCCTTTCTTAAGTTTCTTGGGTTAGCCAGGTTAGCTAGTAGCTACACACTGGTTCATTTGTTCCACCATTGTTCCAACCATAACAGCCCCACCCTCAGCTCCACCTCTTTTCCCATTTTTGGATTGTTTGGGTGTGATGGGACCTGTGACACAGTCAAACTGGCGGTGGTGGGAACCTCCCATTTGTACACAAAAACATACAATTATAACTGGAGCCTATGGACACGACCTGTTCAGTACATATGTCGATGGTATACATGCTGTAAAAGAGGAGTACAATCAAGACAAGCTTTGCGTCTCCTTTTGAGCAACTGCTGTGTGTTTTGTTCTATTTTAGATGTGGTTCTGAGTCATTTGTTGTGTGTGTAAGTCCTGTTTTTGTTGATTTATTTTTTTTCAAATCCAAAAACCAAATCAAACCTAACCAAAATGAGGATTGTGAAATAAAGAAAATAAACAAATGAAAAATGGCCCAGACTTGTAGAGCACCTTTCAGAGTCAGAGGACTCCAAAGCCCTTTACACTAAAGTGTAGCATTCATCCATTCATACACTGGTGGTGATGAGCTACACACTGACAGAGGCTCACTGGTCCTCAGTGACACAATAGACACACAGACACATGTTGGCAACCTCTGAAATGTAATTTACTGGAAAAAAAAACAACAGTCGGGTTATTTAGAAAAGTCTGCATTTACATCGAGAAAAAGAAGGAAAAGAAATCACCTCAGGGCAGTAACAGCCAGGTGTGCACTCTCTGACACCTATACACAAGTCTCCACTGCCCGATAGAGCACACTGCTTCTCACAGGGATCGCCACATGTGGAGTACACAAATGGAGCTTCACATGCTGCAGACGGATAAAGACAAGAAATAACGTCATACACAAAGTCCCAACAGGACACACGTGCATATTCAGAGGTGTCCAACTCACCCTCGCAGTGCCCGAGACTGCAGGCTTTGCTCTGTGTTTCTACAGGGGTGCACTGCTGCCCCCTGATGACTGAGGTGAGAGCTACGCGGTATCGCTGCTGCCTCTGTAACTCACAGGAACACTGAGACCAAATACTCCATGAAGACATGCGACAACCTGCGCAAAACCCCCACAGTTAATCCAATATGTGATCAACACAAACTGATTCCTAGTCACTGGTGTAACTCAGCTTGCTGCTGGTCAAATGATTTTATTATCCCGCTAAATAGTCACTCATTAGGCTCTGGCTCTTTGAGGTGGCTGACTGGGTAAAACTGAACAATTCTTCCATAAGACCTCAATGACGAAAGCATATTTAGTTACCAAACTGGCAAAAGAATCAGCT